CACCAGAGTGAGGAGGAGAACAGGCAGATGTACTGAAATACTCTGCTGAGAGGAGCAGTGGGTGAGGCAGGAGAGGTCTGCTGTGCCATGTGGGTAGCTCCCTGGCCAACTGGGATCGAACTCATGCTGCAGTGGCTGGTGATAGCTTGATAGAGCTGTCTTTATACCCTGAGCTCCCAGGGAGGCCCTAACACAGGCTCTTACAGCCTCGTTGCTACATAGCTCTCCTATTTAATCTCTTGCAGTCCCTTCAGCCAAGAGAATCAGATGCTCTTTTTCTACAAAGGATTTATCTCTTTCCTGAGTGGACTCCCAGAGTTACTCCTTATTATCACTTAACTGCAGCTCAGCACTGACTTTTCTGATAGGGTCCTCATATTCTCCTCTTATCCGGTCTTGTATTTCTTCCAGAGCACCTGAAGCTGTGAAGTGGTAAGAATTTTCTGTTTGAGTAACCTAATTTATGTCCATCTACTAGTTTCCTTGCTCCATGAGGGCATTACTATTAGTTTGTTTTTGTTTTTGTTTTGTTGTCATTTTGTAGTCAATCAGGAAATAGCATTGCAGAGACTAAACCAGGCAGACACCATCAAACCGTCGGGGACACAGGCACTACTTATTCAGCATGATCATCAGTCACTTCCCTCACAGTACCCCAGCTTGCTCTCTTTTGGTGCAGGTATTTAATTTGACAAAAGGCTTAGGGTAGATCACCTCTCCAGGTTTAAGAGCATATGGTACGCCTGAGCCAAGATGGCTCCTGTATGTGTCACATCCTTTGTATCCTTATATGTTAATGCTACAATGTCTGGCCTAGAGCTGGAGACTCTGCTGCCAATTCTGTGCATTATTTATGGATAAATTTCCCCACCACCATCACCATTTTATTCCAGAATAAATGAACAAATATCACTTTAAAAAGTAATGGCTCCAAAAATCAAATTGGAAAGAAAATGCTTTTGCTCATGCTTTAACCAAGGAAATAGCCCTTCCCCCTTGCATTTATTTAACAAGTGTTTGCTGAGGCCCCAGTGAGTTTTCAGTCATGATATTAAGCCTCTCTGACCCAATACTCAAAAAAAGTCCCTGAAATCACTGAGAGTAGAGTCTAGGATGGAACATTATTGGAATGATCACAGTTCTACTGAACATGCAGTTAGAAATTATGTGAATGCTTTGAATGGGAGCATTCCTCGTGAATGCTTAACAAATTAGCTGAACTCTAAGGGGAATTGCAGTAGGGTTGGGAAAGCTTTCTTCACTGAGGGACTCTTGAGCTATTAAAATCCATAGTTAATTATGTGAAGGGGAGAGTTTAGAAATTTCAAGAAGAAAAATTAGAGTGTGCAAATGCCCTGTGGCTGGAAGTAGACTGAAAATTATGATGGTCTAAAAGAAGACCTGACAGGTTTGAGAACAGAAAGAAAAGGATTAGAATTGAGGATGGGAAGTTATTTAGGGTTGCGAGATAGTGATAGGTTGGCTTGTAGAAAGGATCAGTTTTATTTTCAGATCGTTGTGAGCCATTCTTAAATAACCATTATTAGGAGAAGGGAAGGAAGTATGTAAATTCACAGCTTAATACATTTATATTAAAAATGAGGATTTTCTAATTATGATTCCTAGTCATTTTTTAAAATATTTATTTATTTATTTATACAAGCACCGGGCACAGTCAGAAGCACGGGAGGGTGAGAGAATTCACCAGAGCCAGAGTGGGGAGCAGAACAGGCAGACTGACAAAATACACTGCTGAGGGGAGCAGCGGGCACCGCAGGAGAGGTCTGTCGCGCCCTGTAGGACCCTTGCCAGTGGCTGGGATCGAACCGGTGCTGGAGAGGCTGTGGGCAGCTTCGCAGCCCAGCGCTCAACCACTGGGCCCCAGGGAGGCCTGATTCCTAGTCATTCTTATTTATTTTGCTACATTTTGGTATTGTTTGAGCTCCTGAGTTTGTTTATTCCATTCATATGCTGGAAACACTTTCTAATGATATACTCCTACACATTTCGTCTCAACCTCACACTAAATAATGCTGCATTTAATAACTTGAAATCAACCATGGTGGGAATTTATACCATGTATGTTGCAAACTTCAAATCAGGTTTCCCTTACACTTCTATGAACTAGGTGATAAATATTTGCCAGCGCACTACTGAGGCTTTGGAGACCATGTTAAGAACTGATTTTTATCACAGGAGATAAGAAGACATTGAAAGGTTTTAAGCAGGAAATGGACAAGAACATGTTTCTATTATTTTTGGTCTTCTTTTCCTTTCTCTCTTAACCTTACAGACCTCACCTCATTTACTAGTTTTTACAAGGATTTTGTTCTGTTAACTTATCTGCTATGAATGTTAATGCTGTTATTTGTCTTTGTTATTCTGACTTGCTTTACTACACATAATTCCCTCAAAATCTTTTCCTTTTTGCTATAAATGACAGCATTCCTTGTGGCTGAATAATATTCCATAGTATGAATATACATCTTTTTGAGCCTATCCTCTGTCAGTGTTCACTTAGATTGTTTCCATGTCCTATCTTTTATAAATAGCTGCAGTAATCATTATACAGCATGTAGTTTTCCAAGTTGCTGGTTTCACATCATTTGGATAGATGCCCAAGAGAGGGATTGCTGGGTCATTTGGTATTTTCCTTTTTAGTGTTTTAATGTAAATCCAGATTACTTTCCATAATGGCTATACCAGTTACATTCCTGACAACAACGTAACAGAGATCTGCTTTTTTCCCTTTCTCCCCAGCACTTGTTGTTGGGGGTCTTTTCAATATATGCAGTTCTCATAGGTGTGAGATAGTATCTCCTTGTGAGGTTTTAACCTGCATCTCTCTTATTGGAAGTGACAACCTATTTCCATCTGCTGCCCATTTATTGATTGAGTTGCTTGAGAGCACATTTCTATTTGTAAAAGATCATGTTGACTACAGAAATGAGAGGGAGACACAAGGTGATTCTGGGAGATCCATATGATTCAGTAATAGTGGCTCAGACTAGTATCAAACAAATGAAAATGGAAAATGAGTGGATTTAAGATAAGTTTGATGTTAGCATGAACCAGTCACGTAAGACCCTCATCAGGAAGAAGTAGAATCTCTAAGTCCTCCCTAACCGTGGATGCTTATGATATTTTTATTCTGAACCCAATCCTGCCACCATATCTCTAAATGTCAGCTTCATAGTTTAACACACTTATACATGTGTAAGAGAGGAGTGAAAATTCTATGCAAGAAGACATGTGAAATGAAGGGACACTCTCCATACAGAAATAAATTACTTTTAAAGTGTCCATGATTTTTCCATCTTTGCAGATAACTAATAGTATACCTATGGCAGCTGTGAGAATGGCCAAGATCTCTAACTGCAGGAAGTGTTGATGGCTGAGAGCTCACTGGTGAGCTCTGAAATCTAGCATTTGAGCACAGACCATGCTTCCCACAACCATTCCATCGATGACTGAATAGGGCAGGGATGCTGATGCAAGGCTGAGTGGGAAGATGCCAGAGTCCACTGATGGGCACCTTTTACTGCATGACTCCCTAATGGCCTTTGGAAAATTTTCTTTAGAACTGCATTGCTTAAAATGCTTCCACCACCTGGGCCTCCCTGGTGGTGCAGGGATTATAGTCTCAGCGCTATCAAGCTATTGCTAGCCACTGGGAGATGACTTTGATCCCCAGCCAGGGAGCTAATCCACATGGCGCAGCAGACCTCTCCTGTCTCGCCTGCAGCTTCCCTCAGCAGTGTATATCAGTAGATCTGCCTGTTCTGCTCCCCCACTTTGTCTCTGGTGAGTCCTCTCACCCCCCACATCTCTGGCCTGTACCCCAACTCCTGTATGCATAAATATTTTTTTTAAAGGAGATGCTTCCACCTAATTTTCCTGTCTTTACAATCACTCTCCTTTACTGGTTGTGGGGCCTACATCATGGCCTGATGGATCTGTCAGCCTTCTTCAATTCCCTGTCTCTGCCTTGCTCTGCGGCCAGCCTTGAGTGATGGTGAATCGGGTCTCCTAAGTCATAGGTGTCTTCTACAATGCATATCCCTGGGTCCAAGAGATTTTCCATTCCCTTCTTCATGGTCAGACAATTTTGGTTTCTATCCTTTCCTAGAAGCAACAGAGTATTGTTTGTACCCTAAATGTTAGAGGCTTTCTTGCCATTCCCCCGGTGCTTACGGCTTCTCTTTTGTAGGGAGAAGGGCCTGACAAATGGATAGGATTTTGTGCATCTGTGCCGTGAGGGACTCTTTCTAGTCTCTGCCCTGCCCTGGGTGTCTCATATGAGAAGCTTATTGAAAGGAGGCATAGTGAGGTCAGAGCATTGTGTCTGGGCTGCGAGGGATTCTAAACTGCCTTGATAGCATATATCCCACCCGAACCCTTAATTACTCATTAAAGTTTCAGCTCTTACTGCCTTTGGTAGATGCTGCGTCTTTTCCCTGTGATTTACTACCAAAGGTGAGACCGTCCATAATCAATGTATCTTCTCTGTCCCGGAGGCCATGAAGCTCTTTGCAGTTCAACTCATTTGGTTAACTCGTGATTTCAGTTCTCTGATGGTCTCAAAATGGTTATAGTTTTGCAGATGATCTGGCTTCTTCTCATTTTTTCCCCGAGGTTAATGTTCTTATAGCTTTCCACATGCTAAGCAGAAGGAAAGCACACACCAGCCTGGTTGTAAAAATCAGTATGCATTTGCATCAGGATTTTATCTTTGGTGAGTGTAGCAGAGTCAGAAATAGAATGTGTACATAAATAATATAATATATTCTAGGCATGTGAAATGATTATATCATGAAACAGTTGACACTCTGTTACAGTAACTACTCTGTAAACTTATTGAATGAAAACAAGGAGCATCAGTAGCACACAAGGCTCTGAGTTAGAAAAGGCTCCCCTTGCAGATGGCAGCGAGACAGGGGGAAATTGGCTTCGTGGCTATTTTGTTTCGGTTCATGCTTCAACACAGTGACCTTTTCCTCTTCACCAGGTGGTTGACCAGATCGACACCCTGACCTCTGACCTACAGCTGGAGGATGAGATGACTGACAGCTCCAAAACCGACACCCTGAACAGCAGCTCCAGCGGCACCACAGCCTCCAGCATAGAGAAGATCAAAGTGCAGGCCAACGCCCCTCTCATTAAACCCCCTGCCCACCCTTCCGCCATCCTCACCGTCCTGAGAAAGCCAAATCCTCCACCACCGCCTCCACGGTTAACACCTGTGAAGTGTGAAGACCCCCAAAGGGTGGTGCCCACGGTCCATCCCGTGAAGACCAACGGCACCCTTCTGCGAAACGGAGGCTTACCCGGAGCACCAAGCAAAGTTCCCAATGGAGACCTCTGCTGCGTACCCAGCAGTACCTTGGACAAGGCTCCCGTGCAGCCTCTGATGCACAGACCTGAGAAAGACAGGTGTCCCCAGGTGGGGCCCCGGGAACGCGTCCGGTTCAATGAAAAGGTGCAGTACCATGGCTACTGTCCCGACTGTGACACCCGGTATCACGTGAAAGGCAGGGAGGGGCACCTGCACAGCGAGCCTGGCTTCCCGCCCGGAAAGCTCCCTCACCAAGGCCCGCCCCTCCCGCCACCCCCCCATCTCCCACCTTTTCCACTAGAAAATGGGGGACTGGGAATAAGCCACAGTAACAGCTTCCCTCCTCTCAGACCTGCAACTGTGCCTCCGCCTACTGCACCCAAACCACAGAAGACGATCTTGAGGAAATCAACCACCACAACAGTGTGATGTATGCCATTTTTAAAAACTTTTTGTTTTTTTTTTAATTTCTATATTATAAACATAAAATGATAAGTAATGAGCACTTTCTACTCAAGCAATAAAAAGCCCAAATATATTAATCCTGCATTCAGCAAAGTGGCATAAAAATCGCCTGGTAAGTATGCCGTCTATTTTTATCCGGGTTTACATGATTTAAAGCGTTGTACCATCAGAACCCATAGAATATTCTATGAAAGAGCTGAAAATACTAGTTTTGCAATTGACCTATGACAACTGGGGACCTGTCATTTTCAAATGTTTTGATTTACTCTCAGAAATGGGGTTAGATTTGTTTTATTCGCTAACTCATCTATGCATTAAGAATACGCCATTAGCTTTAATCTAATGCTTTTTAATAAGAAATTTTATACTGAATGACTGCTATTTTTTCTGAAGATGTTTTTCACTAGTTCTGTATTATTAAATGCTATAGTTAGCACTGGAAAAGTTATTTTCCATAATATGCAGTTATGATTATACGTTTAGCTGTATATGTAATGAAATATTTCGGTCTATGGAAATATGTCAGTATGTTAGGCCCAGTTCCGCCTTTCAGTTTGGTGGTGGCAGAGCACATGGAACCTCCCTTTTTTTGTGGAGATGCCTCTGTTACAAATACACAGTAGGAGATAATAGCAAACCAGATGTTCTGAGGATTAAGAGGAAACAGTGGGACATTTAACCCCATGTTAGTACCCATGAAAACAGGTAGCAACTCTGATGGTTTGGGGACCATCACAGTGAGTGTATGTCAGAAATTTATAAATTAAATATAATTAATAAACTTTGCACACTGTCCTATTACATACCTCTATTTTTGTACCACATCTGCTGAATACCTGCTGCCCTGTCACCTGCTTTAGACCTTTCTGGCACTCAGTGTTCCCCCAGATGACTGTAAATCAGCACATTGAAGTAGAGGCCTGTTTTGCCTCTTGCCTCAGCAAGTTCTCTGCTCCCTGAGGAAAGCCCCACTTGTAAGAGAATCATAGGGGGAAATCCATATGCTCTGTAACAGGGTGGTTTAGCTTTAACCCTAAGTTGATTCCATGCAGAGTTTTCTGGTTATTACATAGAAGGAAAAGATGTCCTTCTTAACTTTGATTAAAGGTCCCTCTCTTCAATGTTCTTTGTCATCTTAGGTCATCTGTCCCCCATGGATCAGTTTACTTCCCAACTGCCATAACTAGGACTAACCAGATTTGTCCTGGTCACATATTTGCCTGAAGATAATTGGCCCATTATGTGGCAAGAGTAGAGGGAGTCGTCTTTTGGTGGAGATTTCTTTGTATTGTAACTTAACAATGAGTACTATCCTTTTTTTTTTTTTAAAGATTTATTTATTCATTTATTTATTTATTTATTTATTTATTTATTCATACAAGCACTGGGTACAGTCAGAAGCGCGGGAGGGTGAGAGAATTCACCAGAGCCAGAGCGGGGAGCAGAGCAGGCAGAAGGACCGAAGTACACTGCTGAGGGGAGCAGCGGGCGGCAGGAGAGGTCTGTGCACCATGTGGGACCCTTCTCTGGTGGCCGGGGAGCAGCCGGGGATCGAACCGGCGCTGCAGAGGCTGCGGGCAGCCTCGCAACCCAGCGCTCAACCGCTGCGCCACTGGGGAAGCCCATATCCTTTTTTTCTTAGTATTTGAATTTTAATCTCCAAACTTAATTTTTGGCTGTACGGGGGTGTTGTCTTCAATCATGTTTCTTTATCACATTTCTTGGGCTATACTACCTTAATTGGGAATATTGCCTTTAAACAACTTCCTATTAAAAGATGATGATATATCTTAGGCAGGGTGAGAAAGAAATTTGGCTTTGTTTTTTAAAGGAGCAATCAATAAGTAAAATATAGAGATGTCTTATTAAAAATTTATGCAGCATGATTTTTGTTCTGTGTGTGGGAGCTGAAGGTAATGAAGAAAAGGAAGTTATAAAACATAAGATCAATAATCAAGAAAGACCATAATCTAAAATTTATTAACTACATGATCTATATGTTTAATAAATATGGGCCAGATAAAGAAATAATTGACTTATTGAATAACATGATATTCTTAATGCAGCCTTTTAAACTTGATATAAATAAAACCAGGGTTTCATCATCTTTCTAGAGTTAAGTAATTACTGCAGTGTTCCTGCAGTGTTAGATCTTGTGATATTATAAACAGTCATAGAAGACATGAAATTTTTTCCCTTCAGCCCACCTTCCTTCCACAGGCAGTTACTGTGACCTAATAATTATTACTTTATAGTTTAAACCCTTGGCCCTTAACAGTGACTGGGGAAAAATCTGGATCTCAAGGTAAAGCTTGTTGGCAACCACAAATCATCCAAAGAGCATAAGGCATATTGAATAAGTTGAATAATTTAAACCATCTGAATAAGGACATTGATCCAGATACCAAGACACAACTTACAAGGTTCAAGTTCATTTCTCCCTCAAAGTATATACAGAATGAGCCCACAAAAGACTATTTTTTTTTGTATTTGCTTAGTAACATGTACTAAAAGTACATCTGTTTTTATCCAATGCATTTATAAGCAGAGGTCTAGAGAGTGAGTTAAATTCTAACCATCATTAACCCTCCTCTCTCACTGCAATTTATTATATAACCAACAGTGAATGTCAGATTACAGGAATGTTGGGACTTTGTTTTGTGTTTATTTGCTCCATATATTACTTCATTTTTTTTTTCATGAATGTATCAAATACAATGGGCCAATAAGTGTTTGTTTTTTTTTTTCCCCCAAATGAGAATTTTGCAACATTCACTGGGCCTTAGAACTTTAAATACAAAGATATGAACCGTGGAAAGCAATTAACATAGGATGCCATAATATTTGAATGGAACCTTATAATTAAAGTGTTATAAGCGGCAGTGCAATTTTTGTAATCAGCCAGCATTGCTTTCACATTTTTAAGTTCTGAGATACAGGTTCAGTACATCTTCCATGAAACCAACATAAAGCATGGTACATATTTCCTTTTCCTCCAGATCAGAAGTGCTTTCCTTAAAACCCATGGGCAGGTCCTTTTTCACAGTATGTAGTTGACACTTTTATTCACACATCAAGCCTATACAGAGCTAGTGTCTACCCTCCTTTGAAGGCCCCATTTCTACAAAATATACAAGTAACACTTCCAATCCCAACACCCTTTTATAGTTCAAGGTAGATCGTGTGTATCACAAAACGCAATATCCAGTAACTAAGTTGAAATAGGAAAAGTTTTTTTGTTAGTTTACAAAAAGATTGCCCTTTTTTGTGATGGGGAGTTATTATCTCTAGTGGTGAAAGGTAAAAAGAAAATCAAAATTAACCACAGGTTTCTTCCATCTCCCAGAAGTTAAAGGGAAACGAACACTGATATATTTTTAGGGCATACATAGTTAAATGTAAAATTGCATGCCCAAAATTACAGGGCATGCAAAAAGGGAGATTTCCATACTTCCTATTTTGTATTGTATTCAGATCTCCCTTCATTAGTTTAATAATATTCTGGGAAAAGCGAGTCTGCTATTCACTGAAGTGATTTAATTAACCTAAAAATATCTTGAATTTGGATTATGCCTGCATTTAATTATTTATTGAATTACGCAATAAAGCATTGCATTACATGGTATCTGCACTTAGCATGACCAAGGGCAGCAGCTATATTCAGTGTCAGGAACCATGTCAGAACAGCTTCTAATTATAGCTCATTCTGGACGCTCCATGAAGAAAAGCCTGAGTAGTTCCACATGAAATTGCAGTGGGAACCGTGTATTCAAGTCACGAATCACCATTTTGATTTTTTTCTACTGGAAAATATGTGACAGCACAACATCCAGCCTTGTATTGCTCCTCATTGTTTCTTTCTCACAGTATGTTGGTGGTGTCTTTTGCTATCATGAACACTCTAGTGGTAGCAAAAAAAAAAAAAAAAAAAAAAATTGCATGCTACAGCCTGGATTCAATCGTTGGCCAGGGAGTTAACCCACATGCCACAGCAGACCTCTCCTGCCTCACCCACTGCTCCCCTCAGCAGTGTATTTTAGTACATCTGACTGTTCTGCTCCCCACTCTGTCTCTGATGAATCCTACACCTCTAGCCTACTCCCCGGTTCTTCTACAAAATAAATATTTTTTCTAAAAAACTGTATGCTAATGCAGTTTGGTAAAATCCTGATGATTTCTCAGGGAGAAAATGATTTATGGGCATTAATATTTCCTAAAAGTTTGCATTGCTTCATTAGGTAAGGTGCACAGAATCTAAGAATACTGAGACACCATCACCAGATCCCATGATGCTGTCTGTGAAACTGTGACAATGTATTTAAACTTTTAGACTAAGTATCTTGGAGCTGTGGAATGATTCATGTCGCCTCTTTCTGAAATGATGACGGCTGTGATGCTGCCATTAGGGCACACAGCAGGCTTGAACATAAAACTGCAGTTGGCTTCATACAAGTGGAAGAGCAGCCACATAGGGTGTCATTTCATTGGCAGCACTTAGATTTATCATTCTGGTCTTCTTGGAAAAAAACTAAAGTGGAACAGAAAGAAGCTTTTGAAATAACCCTCTCTTTAAAGTGTACTTAAATTAACATGAGGTATAGGATTGTGTGAAGAACAGGGAAAAATGAGCAGGAAATATTGCTGATAATTTGTGCTTCTAAACCGATCAGAGATGGGTAAATTAGTATTATTACTGCTTTCTGAAACTTTACATATATTAGAGTTTCTGTAAGTCTGATACCAGGGTATAAAATAGAGATTGTTACTCTGACTTACAAATGAAGAAATTGAGGGCCTCACTTGAAATATTTTGTCATAATTAGCCCCCTAATAAGCCTCTGTGCTGGCATTGTGCTGCTGACATGATCCCCCATAATTTTTCCCCACAATATCACTATTTAATTGTGTTCTTCATAGCCCCGAACTTTGCAGAGCTTTCTTTTGTTCTGAGCAGTTATTTTGACGCTTGAAAGGGGTTACCTAATGTTGTTTTGACATTCTTAATATGTTTGATCTTTGCAGAGTATGAAAAGGATTTCAGGCAATTTAGTCTAAAATGAATGAGCTGCTGAATAATGCAAGCCTCATTTTCTCATGTTTTATACCCGTGGATTCACCTTTCAGTTTTTTCCCTCTAAGTTCAAAGGCTGTCTAGCAGTTTGGTTTTTTCCCCTAAGAAGTT